TTTTTTTTTTTTTTTTTTTTTTTTTTTTTTTTTTTTTTTTTTTTTTTTTGGGTGCTTAAATTACTATTTAATAGTTTTAAATTCTTGTTGTCTTTTTGGAGCTGGTTTTTGAATGGACGAAGTCCGAATATGTATTAAAAAAATGATAGAAAATGGCTTCTCCAACAAAAATGAAAAATAGATTAAAATAATAAATGATTAAAAAAATAAAAATAAAAAAGTCAAAAATAATTGGTTAATGATAAAAATATCTTTGAAAAAAAGCACATTTCATTGTCATAGACTCATACTTGGTGTGAAATTTTTAATTTTCATTATATTTTACGACCACTCTTTTTATAATCTCCAAAATTTTTATAGGGTAAGAGGCGTTTATGTTATTTTGAGGGAGAAAGCTTTTAATATATATATGTATATATAATTACATTTTTTTAAGAAGTATTTTCTAAAGGAAAAGAGGAAGTGATTAAAGGGCGGATTCTTTTATTGGAGCACAAGCAATCCCATGCATCATGCTCAACATTCCATTGTATTTTAAGAAAATAAAAAATAAAAAGATAAGCCCACTCTTATGAATATTGTTATGGTGAATTATTTCAGTAACTGAAAATATTCCAACTTTTAATTTGGCAAGTGCTTTAATTATTCTATGATTCATGTCTTTTATCTATCTTTTTCTTTAATTACAAAAAAACTAAAATAATTTTATTTAATCATTAAAGATAAATAACATACTTCAAAAGTGATGTATTAAATTAAATATGACAATATTGAACGATTTGAATTTTCTTTTTAGACCCACTTATATTTTCATGTTTGATAATATTCCATTATCTATTAGCTTTAATGTTTTTTTCCTTGTTTGTTTTGTTTTGTTTTTTTATGTGCCATCAGCATCATTAATTTTATTCATATATGTTTTGCCATAAAGTGCACCATTTATTTAACAATTTCATATTTAATGGATTTTTATTTGTTCTTTCGGGTAAGTGGAGGGCTGTTCAATTGGATAACGAAGAGATGGTAATATTGTGAGGAAAGAGAATTATTTTTTTAGATAATAAAAAAGAATTTGGTTTATTTTTTGGGAATAATAAATAGGGTTTGATTTTTGATGATTAAATGTCATTTTCGATAATTTAGAGATTCTAAACCAAACATTATTGGTATTATCCAAGTGTTCACCATTAATTATTCAACTTCTCTAAAATTTGTAACAAATTTAGAAACTTTTTCTTCTTATTTCGAGAATTGTAACGGTAAGGGTTGGAACGATGAAATTAAAAAAATTGATTATATATAAGTCCAATGGTTTCAAAGTGATGGACCGAAGAAAAGTGGCTGGCCTTCCACAACCCAATTACCTCGATTAACCAACCTTCTACGCACGCGTTTAAAGACGCCATCTCTCTCCCTCTCGCACGTGCTTCCTTGTGCACGTGTCAACCCGCTGCCCCAGACTCAGTCCAGGTGTTCCCTCTCGGTTGTCCCTTTATAAATCCCCCCTCCCCCCCCCCCC